ATAGATATTTTATAATGAAATTTTAATTTTAGTTAGTGATTTGCTCGCAACTTTTTCTTTTGACAGCTCATCTCGGTCAAAAAATCTTCAGTTTCATCAATAATTTAACCACAACCAAAGCTACGAAGCAATGCTCTCCTAAGAAACTGTAGCGTGCACTTTTTCTAGTTTGGCCGACATTCTGAGGTGACTTTTCAGAAACTTGTAATTAAATTTCACACTAAATTTACATCAATGGAAATTAAACCACGAACATCCATAGGTAGAAAGCTTTTAGAAGATAATATCGCAGCTGTATCAACCAGAGATAGTGGGCTTCACTACATGGAAAATTTTGCGAATGAATTCAAAATACAAAGGTTCAAGGACTCGAACCACTTACAACGTAAGAAGTGTCTGGTTAAACCTAATTTAGCCTCACTTATCTCAACAGGTAACTTGAAAAAGTAGGATGAAAAGCTACTTTTGTTTTGAAAAACTTTCCTCGAAGCTCATTTTTGCTTGAATAGATCACTAAATGTTAAATTATATTTGTAGTTCTATCAACTTAAATAAAGATTTCATAGATTCTTCTAATTTTTATGTTATTTTTTATATCAAATTGGTAAGTTTATAAAAAACCATCTATGAACTATAACAAGGAATCTATGGTATATTGACTACTTAGTAAAATAGCCCCTTAGTATCTTTCGTTAAGTTGGAAAATTTCGCTTTAGAAAAAAGTTTTTTCAATCCATTGAGTTTAAAGATATAAAATATATGGTATCTGATGTCTCATACAGATATATATTTAGTTGGATTGAGTAGTAGATCTGGACGCTCTCCGTATTTCTTGCATTTTTCAGTATAGCCCTAATTCCTATCTTCCTCTCGCCAACCGACCAAGGGGCGCCACTGAAGAACAACGAATTACTCTGATTCGGAATAAGTTTTAAAATCGTTGTACAAACATCGAAACGGTCGTTCATTTCAAAGTTTGTTCTGTATGAACACAATGAAAAGAGTTCCAAGTGTCTGGCTGATATTAAAGCGATGGTAGAGTTATGGTCGCTATTTAGGAATAGCTTATCAATAATTGATTAAAAATTAAACTCCAAGCTTTTTATTACGAATAAGGGTGGAGATTCTTACTCGCAACCCCCCATAAGACGTAAGGGGTCAATAGATGCAAAGCATTCTTTTCTTTTTTACCACAACAGTATTATCAAAGACGTGTAGTGTCTGTGCCTGTGCCTGGTGGAACATCAGCCCGTTGAGATAGGACAAGTCTGTGAATTTCTCCGTTAAATTTTGATTGCTAGCTTTTATCGAGGTGGATTTTCATTACTTTGGTAAGTATATTTCAAATCGAAATTTCCATAACGAAGGCGTCCAAGCCAATGCTGACACTGGCGTTCAGTAAACACATCTCTTCGGCTGACTTAGTTTATTCTTTCTTTGAGCTTCAGTTTTAAATTTATTTCTTGAACGACGTGTTGCTTTAATAATGCGTTTTATCTTCTCAGTTTTTCAAACAAATTTTCACGACATGTAATCGTAGTTATGTCGACTTTTGCAACTTTTCTCAACTCGCTTTTTGTAGTGAAGTTACGAAAACTCACTTCTATTAGGCGTCTGGTATGGTCCGCTGACGGCGGATGAATTTCCCATGCAAGGTGCGACCAAGCAGATTATTCACGATAAAAAATGGCTTTTGCGCATGCCAATTGAACAGAAATACATTAGAAAAAATATTCTTTTTGAAAAGAGGGGAATTGTCCAAGGCAATTGAAGTTCTGGCAGAGCACTGTCTAATAAGAAGACATGCAGAAAGCCTAAAAGCTTCTTGTATGACCGGAGCAGCAAGGATAATGATAAAAAAGAAGCTTTTTGAAAGGCTAAGTTTCGAAATTTCGGAACAGTATACCCGGATAGTCAGGGTAGCTGACATCAATGGAGGCCTACATGTAGTTTATGTGACTTGCCGGTAGCCACTCCAACGTAAACTAACAGTAATTTTTGTTGAGAAGCTCGTGTCATTGTTTTAAAATTAATTTCTTGGTTTTTATATATGAACATATGTATGTACTTCTCCGAGTTCTGGTATACTTCGTTTGAAATATTGTTTTGACTTTATATAACTAAACTTTATATAACTAAAATTTTATTTTGTTACTTTTTGGTTTAAAAAAATTTATACTAATTTTAGTTGAATTCCTTCTTTCCTTTTATTAAAAAATCGACCAGCCAATATATTAAGAACTCTGTTGAAAGTATATTAGATACTGTAACGAATGACCCGAAAAGTTCCGAAGCCCAAAACATAGATGCTCTCACCACCTTTTTGGCAAGTGCTAGGCTTCAAAAGAAAACTGTTAAACTTCCATCATTCCACTAATTCGTTTTTTGGTTATTGCCCCAAATGTGGCACGGCCAGAAAGCATAAAAAAAATCCACCAAACCGTATTGAATGGTGGAAAAGTAAAATTGAGCAAGTAAGCTGATATAGAGCAGATATCAAAAGAATGTGTCGACTTTAATTCAATGAGATCTTGCACGGCGTTTGCTCACTGCATTTGAGAATGGATGAAACTTCTATGTGGAGCATTTGAATGCCAAAACTACAACGTGTTAACGCGACTGGCAAAGGGATAATTTTGTTTCATCCAGACAACATAACAAATGAGTATTTAATGGGATTTGGAAACACTACCGAATTCGCTAGATTTGGCTTACAATGTCTACAGGTTGTTCGAGGATTTCAAAAATTGCTCACTAATAAAAAGGCTAACGCTAAATTTAAGACCTTATTTATGAAAAAAGAAAAATCGTTCTACAAAATTGAAATGTTAGAGCGTCGCTGGAATGAATATTGGTTCTGGATAGAGATTACGCTGCTGAAATTCAATTTTCTTTGTTAAGCCCGTAACTTTTCGGTCCATGTGCCAATAGGGATATGTACATATGTATTAAATGCCTCACTTCAGCGGTCATGTTGTGTCATTCTGGATTTTGCTTTTTTAACAAAATACATATGTATATAATATATATATATATATATATATATTTATAATATATATAATATATATATATATATATATATATATATATACATATACAATATAAAATACAGAAATGAATATTTCATAGCAAAAACTTATCAAATTCACTTGAGTCCCATATATTTCACACATAAAAAAAGTGAAAAAAGGAAATCTAAAAGCTCTCAATTGAAAAAAGTTCTCCAGAATTTCTATATAATTTATGCAAGGAAATTGATTTGGGCAAGCCGATTTAAATATATAAAATTGTTTACATGAAATTCAAGCTGATTTAAATATTTTGTTCTCATTTCGCAAATTCAGCGAAGTAAATGTTACAAGTTCTTAATTACGGCAATACATATCTACAAATATAAAATGCATATAAATATGGACGTAGTAGCTATGCAATTACATAAATATCTTTATTTAACTGCGCTTTAAATTTTACTCAACTTTTTGTTTATATAATTTACAATATATTCTGAATATTTGCAGGTACTGACACTGAATGCAATGTTTTTTGCAAGTTTTTTTGCTACTTAATATTATTAAATTGATTTTATGTTTACTATAAAATTACACAAAGCGTTTATACTTACATATGTATACTTACGACATACACGCACATATACATTTATGTAAGTATATTTTTTACTTTTTAACACGAATACGAATTTGCAACTACATGCGTATTCGTGCACACACATATAATATATAAATCTAAAAAAATACATAATTACATACATACATTTATACGAGAGTTGTAACAATAATGTGCACAAGCTTAAACAATTAAGCTGTTCGCCTTTTTTTTACATGCGCATTTATACATATAAATATGTTTAAAGGACTTCACATATACACGCACAAATTTGCAAATTTATACATACATAAAATATTTAAATTTAATTTTCTATCAAAAGTTGACTTACTTTTTTAATTATCTGCAAATTTGCTGCAATCATTTTTTTTGTTTTACTGTTTTTGCAAAAAAGTTGTAATTAAATTTTTATAAAGATTTTGATTAATCGTTAGTCATAGTTAGTTATGAGTACATTTGGTTTTGTATTATTTTTTAATTCTTTTGATTTTCATTTTACTTTTTTAAGGTGATTAAAGTTTTAATTTTACGCTTATTAAGGTATTTAATTGGAGCGGATTGGCCTGGCACAATACAACGTTGTGTGTGTGTGTGTGCGTGCGTGCGTGCGTGTGTGTACATTTTTCTGTTGAAAGCAAGTGTTTGTTAGTGTGTACATGTGTATTGTACACGTGTAAGTGTAAGGGGACTCGGTCGACATGAGCTTGTGGCTGGTGAGGTAGTGAAGCGAGCATTTGTTCTGGGTGTTGGGTGTTGTGTGTGTGGTGGTGGTGGTGATGGCGATCTTGTTGTTGAAGGTGTCAGCTGGTTCTCGGTTGCAGTGTTGCCATTGTATTCGCGCTCCAATTTAATGGACGAAATTTTGATATATTCTTCTGCTTGAACTTCTTGCGTTGCATTAGCACAGTTGGACAGTATTTTCTTTGGTTTCTAATAAAGTCTTGATTTGCATATAAATATTTCTTTTTGTTTTTTGCTGCTTTCAATAAGATAATAGCATCTACGGTACGCTAGGAGTACATTAAGATTTAAGGTTTGTCTCTAGGTGTAGGTATGTATGTGCTAGCTGCAGTGTCTTCTTTTTCCATTTTGTTCCATTATTGGTTTAAGCATTTGCATAAAACTTATTTTATTCTTTTATGCGGGAATGCCTTTTCATTTAAATCTCCTGATGTACGTGTATGTATGTATTCAATTATTAAAAAATCAAAGTTTTGTAAGAGCTGTCCATTTGCAGCGTTGAAATTTCGAAAAAATTCAAATAAAAATAATTTATTCTTCAACTTTAAAATTAATTTACTTCGTGTTGAGGAAATATAAAGTATCTATTTTATTATTATAAACATATGTATGTATGTACACATGTATATATTTGTATTATCGGCTCTTTCATATAATTTATGACAGCATTGATTACGATGTAACACACATATGTAATTTCAGTTTAACTTATTTCGCTGTCGTGTCCTTTCCCATGAACTTCTTTCATTTACAGTTTCTTATAAGACTCAAATGGTTACTCGGAAATTTTAATTTCACACTTCACTTGTCATGCAATCGTGGCATTTGATTATTGCTTCGTGCGAAAGGGCACAAATGAATATTTCCTCTTAACATCTCAACGAGGGCACGAAAATAACGAAATGCATATATATATGTGCATACATTCAGAGATGCATATGATTGCCAATAACTACTTTTTGTGGAATTTCGTAAGCCTTTAGGTGTTAAAAAAAAAGAAACAAATGAGCCTTTAGAAATTTTTGTTAATTTTAAAAGCTTTTTGGTGCATATTCTTTTGAATACTTTTGCACACACACAACTATTTTAGAAAGAGGCTTAAAAAGCAATGCAACATAAAAGTTTACTAGATTCTAATACAAATATGTTTATTGCGAGTGTTAACTAACTCATGCTAGGATATTTTTAAAACACAAGTTCAAAGGCGTGAGAGGTAGTGAGCATAGTAAAGTTAATGAATTGGTGTGTAAATTTATTGTGTATAATAAATTGGTATTATTTTAATTTAAACTTTATTTTTCCGCATTAATGGATTGTCTGCAAATGCAATTCCCAAGTAAAATTATTTTGTAAAATAATAAATTGTCCTGTTTACTACATTTTTGGCCTTAATAGTGTTAAGTCACTGAAATATCATTTTCAAGTCCACGTTTAGACACGATGTCCACACAGCGAATCCATTGAAGGAAATGTGACCATATTTAAACGATTTCTGCACTATATTCTCTCTCTCTCTCAATAAGTTATGAGCGCTGAATTTAATTTAGCAAGCGTAGTATTATTGGAGTTTTATCTTTGCACGCACATGCAAGGTTGTAAGATTAATTCAAAACAGGGCAAGGCAGCATCTCAAATAATTTTGAGTTAAAATACGTGTGTCCTAAAAATAACCGAACTTTATATTTAAATCATATAACATACAGCGCCATCTATTGAAAATTTGCAACATTAAAAAGATACATTCATCCTCTTTCAAACGCACCTAACATCATGTAAGTCGGATGACAGATGTAAAAGTGACAGCCATTTCAAAAAAACCAAAAGTGTGCTAATGGTTCAAAAATAAAATGGAACAAAGAGCAAATATAAAATTTTCTGTCAAACTTGAAAAAAAAGTTTATTGTGATGATTGTATGAGTCGTACGCAATTTTATACTTAGTTTACACGATTTAAAAATGGTGGTGAGGATTTAAATGACGGCCCTAGAGCAGGACGTCCAGAAACTAGAAATCGTGCTGAATCGGTAGAAAAAGTCCGTGAAATCATTGGTATCGATGCAAATTTTACTACGAGAATGTTGGCTGAGGAGTTGAATACGAGTAAAAACACTCTTTGGAGAATTTTAACTGAAGAGTTGGGAAAAGAAAGGTCTGTGCGCGATTTGTTCCACATGAATTAAATGACGACCAAAAAATCGCTCGAATTTTCCTCATCGACCATCCTCCAAAACTGAAAACCAGGATGAAGGGAGTATTTCATGATGATATCCCAGCCATTCAAGCAGCCGTGACCGAGGTACTGAAGAACATTTCTATAAATGACATAAAAAAATTTATGCATGCGCTGGTTGATCGTTCCAAACGTTGTGCTGAGTCAATAGTCAAATAGTCCTCGATTAAAGTGAAGTGAAACTGAATAACTCTGTTATTAAATTCGTGGATACTGTCAGAAATCTAGGAAACATCTTCAATAGAACTTTGTCTTGGAATAACCACATTTATAGTGCAAAAGGTAAGGTTTCTGCCAAGCATTTCAGCATTTCACACCATTCAAAATTCGATTGCTGTTAGCAAAAACTTTCATGTTACCGACCTTACTGTATGGTTGCGATGTTTGGCAGCTGTGACAATCTGTGTTGTAGTAAGCTTAATGTCCTCTAAAATAACATCGCCATATACATACGTATATAGTGTAAATCATCACGAGCACCTAAGTACTTTTGCGATAAAAATATTTTTCATAAAATTAGACGATTTACTGAAGTTAAAGTGCCTAATTTTACTTCGCAAAGTTATTAGCCCTCAGGAGCTCAAATATCTTTTAGAGCGAGTTCAAGTCACTAGATCTACCCGATCAATTAACTTGCTTAGCATGAAATACAGTTGCCCGGTTTTTGAACGCCAGTTCTTTGTTTTTGCTGTTCTGTTCGCCTTTGGAACGCTCTGCCAAAAAGGATCAATAGCTTTCGAAGTACGTTGCGCTTTGGAAACGAAGTCGTATAATACTTTGCATAATCTATTAATTGCCAATCTGCACGATTATTATTATATTTCAAATATTTAAAAGACTACTATTTTTTTAATAAAATCCCTAACCCTTAACGTCATTAACATGTTTAGAGAGAAAATGACAGATTTAATGTTTCAATTAAGATGGTATTATTATGTTTTATTTTAAGTTATTAGAATTAAGTTCAAGCATTGTAAAATAACTTATGGTTGGGTGTTTGACTAAATCGATAAATAAATAATAAATAAATAAATAAATAAATAAATAAATAAATAAATAAATAAATAAATAAATAAATAAATAAATAAATAAATAAATAAATAAATAAATAAATAGTGGTTTCATCGACGAATGATTTAATTTCTATAACCACGTCACATAGTTATGCCAAAAAAAGAGAGAGACACTTAAAATAAATGAAAGATTGGGGTTTTTTTCCAAATTATCATAAAACGAATACGAATTTGCGACTGGAGATTTTTTCAGATATATCAAACTCGAGTGAAATTTCTTGACAAAAGTAAAAGGTAGTTTCAATCAAATAATTTAAACATAAAATAGTTTTTTGCAGTTTCATAAATTATGAAATTTTTGCTTCTCAGAATTACCAGACAATTATTAGTAAAACAATGATTAGGTCAAAAGTCTATCTGTATTGGATCACTCTACTGTATTATAAACATCCTAACGCTAAATTCGCATACAAAACGATCACTTGAAACGATTGTACATCACATCACAGATAAACCCGTTTTTTTACGAATTATTAGACTGTATTTTATTTGTCGACGGCCGCAGTAGCCGAGTGGTTAGCATTGCGTAATGACATTCCTAAGTTAGAGTTCTGGTTCACCTAATATGCAACATTGGGCCTCATGATTTTATGTGGTGTTTTTGACAGACATAATGGCGGGCTATTGTTGATTCAGTGAATAATCTCGTAAGCGGTGATTACGCCAAAGCAGAAAGTATACAACTGTCCGGTAGTACAATATTTAGGTTACGTCGTAATTTTATTTAATATCAGACGGTGAGCTATAACAACGTTTGCCAGAAAATGAAACTACCATAAATATTTTGTATCATAGTTAGAACTATCATCTGTATCATGTAAATGAAATCGATTTTCATAAATAAAATAATTAGAAGAAGATTTATTTCTTTAACCTATGCTCTTTCTGCCTTTTAACGTATGTTATTTATGTAGAGACGCTTTTTTCAATTGCCTTCTTTTGACAGATCACGCGCGAGTCATGTCAAGCGGTCATATTATATTTGTTCAGTATTGTTTGGCATTACATAATGGAATGACTTACGCCTGAACAACGTTTACGAATCTTTCAACTTCATTATGGAAATTCATGTTCTATAAAGAATGTGTTTCACGTGCTTCGCTCATCTGATGGTCAACACAATCGGCCTACTGAACGTACTATTCGTAACACCATCACCCATCTTGAGACCCAGTATTCATTATTGGACAATATTCCACCGAATAGACCAGGTTCAGCACGCAATGAAGAAAATTCCATGGAGATTCGGCGCCATTCGCTGCCGTATGGTACGACTTGGCGGATTTTACGTAAATATCTTAATTTGAAAAAGTACCAGATACAACTTGTGCAAGACCTGAAGCCGCTCGAAGTTCCCGAGCGACATCCCTCCGCCTATGGCGTCTTGAAAAAAATTTTGTCAAGCGATAAGGCCCGTTTCTGGTTCAAAAGGTATCTAAACAAGCAAAATTGCTAAGTTTGGGACTAAGCGTAACCAAAAGAGATTCAAGAGCTGCCATTTCATGCAGAAAAAACGGTGGTTTGGTGTGGTTTGTGGACCGTCCATATTTCTTCAAACATGGTGCCTGAGAGTACGGTACCGTCAAGGTATCTAAACAAGCAAAATTGCTAAGTTTGGGACTAAGCGTAACCAAAAGAGATTCAAGAGCTGCCATTTCATGCAGAAAAAACGGTGGTTTGGTGTGGTTTGTGGACCGTCCATATTTCTTCAAACATGGTGCCTGAGAGTACGGTACCGTCAACGGCGACTGTTATCGCGCCATTTTAACGTGATCTCGGCGACATTTGGCTCCAACAGACGGCACCACTTCTTATACAACGCATCAATCAACGAATTTATCGAGAGAACACTTCGGTGTGCAGACAGTCCTGCTTCGATTCAGGCCTTAGAGCAAAACATGACGCTTGTCATTCGCCAGGTACCAGTCGAGTGCTCGAGTGAGTTGTCGAAAATTTGACTCAATTATCCATGGACATCCACTAAAAGGGATAATCTCGCGAATGATATTATACATTTCCCATTAAATTTGAATTTTCTGTGTTTTTTTCTTTAAAAAAGTAGAGAATATCAAAGTAGATCACCCTTAATGAAACCTATTATTCCCTAGAAAAATAAGTAGAAATGGCTTCAAACTTTAAAACGCTGTTAAAAAATTGGCATTTTCAAATTGACCCTCCCTAAAGTATATGTGGCCGAAGAGTGAAATTTCAACGCTATCACAGCTTTTATATAGCAAATAGTTTTGTTAATATCACAAAATATTTTAGTAAAATATGTAAGAGTTATTATTCTATATTCATAACGGTAATGCCTGCGGATATCGCATGACATTTTGGCATTTTTGTCTTTAGCTGGGAGTTTTGATTTGTGTTTTTATTTCATATTTGAATTACATTGTAAAATTTAATGGAATATTTTGATTTTATTCGCTGGAAGGCAAATTTTTCATATTTAACGTTTGTATTGGTATGTGGGAATATGTGTAAATGCGACTGTCACATTTTGTGGAATATTTCGTTTTATTCTATTTCATTGTGCATTTAAAAAAAAAATCACCTGTCAAGTAGTGGTAAATACACAAATGCCTGAAAATTTCATATATCATTTTATGCTGCTCGTTTATTTTTTTGTTTGACTTTAACATCCCCGCATATCAGAAGAAAATAGCAATGCATAAGCATTTGTTTGCATAGTGACGTCGACTGTCTATTATAATGTTTAAGCGCCTAAAAGTTGACTGCATTTTACTAAATCTAGCACAATTCGTTAAATCTACTTTGGAACTCTCTATTTTATTCTAAAGCTATGCCAACACTTAGCCCTCAATTAACTATACATGACTTACATAACTACATATATGTATGTATGTATGCATAATTCCAATGCAAACATACACTATCACACACACGCGCGCATACTTTTATCGAAATGTTAAGTACTCGTACTATACTTAGATAAATAATGTAAAAGTTTTGATTTAATTACGTTGACTTTGCATCTGTGCTGCTAATGGACGGCCATTGCCGTTTGATGACGGCGAAGTGGGTCATTTGGTAAGTGTTGGTCTGTTGGCAACGGCGTATCACGAACCCTGTCAAACAGTAGCCCATATTGTAGTCTTCCATCGAGATATTCGAGGTGAGATACAATTTGAATTCATCAATTTCCTTTTCCTTGCCACCGCCTGTATCTGTGCCATTGACATCATCGCCCACTTCAAGACAGTCGAGACAAGTGCCTCCGCTTAGTGGTGTGCCCGACGTTGCCTTTTTTCTGCGAAAGTAACCTGCGATGAGTAGCGAACCCTTTTGTTCTAGCGGCACCATTTTTGCTTTAGTCGATTGGCGTTGTGTGCCGGTGAATTCCTCGATGCGACAACGATTCGGTTGCCACCAGCAAGGCGTGATCGTCCAGTAACTGGAAGAGGCCGTACGCGCCCAACCCTCTTCAGGGTAGAGAAGAATCTGTAAGTGGAGGAATGAAGAAAAATAAGAATTGTGTAAAATGCATTTTGGTGTTCAAATGGATTGGCTCATTGGCGAGTCTTATACTAATAAAATTCAAGCAAAATAGTGTAAGTAAAATATTCATGCCCACTGGCATATTGGCGCTTTTAAAAAGTGCAAGTGATGCTACAGTTGCTTCCTCTGTGCACCAACTAATGTGAAAGTGTGCCTTTAAGATTTTACAGTGGGTTATATGAAAAAATTCCTATCTCTCCGCCGTTCTGCTTTGCTTTGCTTTCGTATAATAAAAGCTCAGGCGAAAGTTTATTTTGAGGAAATTGTCATTGGAGTTTAATTGAAATTCGAAATTGAAATTTTTCATTCGAAAGGCAAATGTCACGTTCATCCTTTCTTTATTTGTGCTTTTAACTCTGATTTTGCAGTCCTTTTATTTAATTTCTTCCTGTCCTTTTGTCTTCGGCAGATGGCATTTAATAAAATGTAAATTTTTTTGGTTGAAATTTTTATTTGGTAATTGAGAAAAATGTGAAAGTAGCCGAAGTAACAAACTTAATTGAAATTTAGTCTGCTGTGAAAGCTACATATACACGTATATATGTATGTATGCATGAATGTACTATATATAAATGTAAAACTTGACTGGGCACTGAACTCCAAAATTTTAGTCGTCTCGAAGGATTCATAGCTTCATGAGCTCAACTTCTAAGCCGCAGAGGATAAGTCCTGGTATCGTTGATTGCAAAAGGTAATGTGAAGTCAAAAACCTCTCATATATTTGGTGCTTTGTTGGCATAAAAATCAGAGTTGCCTGATTTTTGTATATTAAATTTAAATAAATTTGATTTCTTCGAAACGATTTTGACTTAAGAAGAATCGTTCATCTGCTGGTTTCATTTCCAGGTCCACCGAATTCATTTAGATATTGGGTCTTTGCAAACAAATATCGAAACCCTCACTTTAATTATATGAATGATAGATAGTATCGGCCTGGAAATATAGTGCCTCGTACCAGAAAGATACTGCAGATACTAAGGATTGCTGCCCATTGGAGGCCTTCTAGGTGCTTAGGAGCTGTCCAAAAATGACGCAACTGGAATTTTCAGCATTTTACATCCTCCTCCCCTTTGATAAGTAATAGTAGGATCTTAGCTAATAATCCCCACCCGCTCTAAAACCTTACGTAAGACATACAACAATTTTAAGTTCAAAAAAGTTATTAAATATTTTTAATTTAATAATTTATATTACAAAATTGACCAGTTGACGAAAATATTAGGGTTCACGTTCATTCTTGTCATACCTCTCTTGAGGAATAGGTGAATAAGATATCTTCTCCAACTTCTTCCGCTTTTTTGTTAGCACTGGCACTGCTTACGCGATTATAGCCGATTGAGCATTAGCGTGCCAGGTGTAACCTGGTCACCTTCCACCTGATTCCTTCCTCTCCCTTCGCTTTCACCAGCGGATACACTATTGAATACTTTCGGCTGCCATGACCTATAATAGATCATAAAGATTTTCTCTCGAATACTCTCAAGGCCAACTCGTCGGTTTTCGACGTCGTTCACGCTTCTGCAGGACGGGAATTACGAGGGAGTTGTAAAGTTCTGGTTTTGTTCGTCGATAGAGGACTTTTATTTTCAACTGCCTACTCAGCTCAAAGTAGCACCCGCTAATCCCCAGATAGACGAAGTTATCCACGACGTCGAAACTGTGAGTGTTAGCAGTGAGGTTGGAGCCAAGTGGTAAATACACCTTGTCTATTTAGTTCTGCAGCTCATATTATTTACTCCACTGTTAAATTGAAGATCTCACACAAATGGAGATTCACCCTGCCTGAAAGCTCGTTTGGTACCGAACTGCCTGGAGAGGTCTTTCCAAATTCCAACCGCGCTTCCGGTGTTGTCTAGCGTCTGTGTGTACAACCATGTAAGTTTTTCAGGGAAACTAAACTCAGACATGGAGTCGCGTCGTCTGTACTGTCGAAGGCAGTTTTAAAATCGATGAAAAGGTAATGTCTGTTTGGAATTTCGAATTCTCTGGATGTTACACTTTTACCGGCAATTAGCAGGCTGGTGAAGTATTTCCTCTATACCCCAACTATGCTCTGGATATCGGTGTCGGACTGTTTCTTAAACTCTTTTTTTTTTTTGTCTGCAAGAGAGTCTTGCTTTGCTCTACTCGAGTTCAACATGCCTCATCGAACCTTCCGTGATTTATTGACGAGCGTTCTTTGATACACAGAGGCTGGTGAGTATTTTTCTTGCAATAAGAAAGTGACACAAGTCGATGTTAGAATGTCGGAGCGGTCGTACAACTAGAAAACTGGACAGAGCTGTCGGCCTATCAAAACATGATTGATATGATTTTGAGCTTTTCGACCGGGAAACTGCCAAATAGGTTGATAAATTTTCTTTATGTTATTTTTGTTGTTGTTTTGGTACCTTCATTGCTCACTCTGGCGTTAAAGTTGCCAAGCATAATTTTTACATGAAGGCGGGGAAGCACACATAAATATCACCCTTTTCGGGGCATGGACAAAAATCAGCGTTGTATTGAAAATTTCGTTATGATGTGGATTGTGGCTAGTCTCGTTTATCCAGCAGAGTGAATACTAGTATTCGGCGATGGACTTTCTCTTAACACAAAACCGACACCAAACTTACGCTCCTTTATATAGCCGTTGTGGTGCAACACAAGAACCTTCCTTCTTCGGCTCTTGTCACATTTATCGCACATTTTAGACGGCGGAGGATATTACCCGCGTGGGCAACGGCATCATACCGATTGAGAGACCGGACATTCTAGGTACATGCGCCCAAGTCGTAATCAACTGGGTGGAGTACATTTTTCATGCGGTTGGTCCCACATAATCGCAGCGGATTCGCCTTTTCACGTTAGCTCGCCACAGACGGATGTTTCTTGGTTATACAGAAGGTACTTGGCCTGAGACCGGTTGTTATGAGTTGTAAAATAGTTATTTTGACCAGTTCAGGGTGAAAAACAGTCAAAAACTCTCCTCACTTGCGTGAACTTCTGTACATATCCCCATGCCCATAGATAAGTCACCTAGGATTTATAATCATATTATAAGAAATTGGGTCTGAAATCAAAAGAATCACTTCCGCTTTATTCACTTAATTAACAGATTTTACAATTTATGTATAATAATTTGTTTATCATATTGCATTTTTACTTATTTTGTGTTTATTTTTTTATTTGTCATTTTCTACATGCTTCATGTAAACCGATTCTATGTGCGTACATATGTACATATATATATGTGTGTGTGTACATATTTATGAATTTACTCGTATGAACGAATGGTTCAATATCATTGTTTGTCCTACTGTTTAAAATCAATTTTAATCTACGAACTTCCATATAGACACAAAGTGTGTATGCTCATCTGTATGCGTTACAAATGTGTTGTTCTGTATATGTGTATGTACTTATATATATACATACATACACATGCCGGCATGTAGGCGATAATTTACTTTCCCATTCTGATTTTTAATAAAACAAGCATTTGTTGGTTTTGTTGTCATTGTTGTCATTGTTGCTGCTTTAAAATTGATTGTGTGCAAAGCTGTGCGAAAATTGAGTTTTCCAATGCCGCAAGTGAAATAAAGGGCTCAAAATGAAAAAGCTTCATACAGTAGGGCCCACTAGATTGAAACCTGATTATTTCAATGTAAACACGTAGAGTGTGGATGGTAGGAAGAAGGCCCGTTTGGAAACGGACCGGAGGAAAATTTAGACTGGCAAAAAAGACTAATTTTGTATCTCAACGATTCAACTCGATCTGTGGTTTAGGCTGGTGTGCAAGTATACAAGAACTGCTTCGGCATTTTATTTCAATCGAAGCTTTGTTTTTTTTGGTTAATGGAGCTTTTTCAGCCCAGTAATGTCTGCCCGGGTCGCTGATATTTTATACAAATATGAAACCAATAACAATGAGTGCGTTATGCAATTAACTCAAAATAAAGGCAATTGGGTTTCCACACTTTTGCGGGTTTTGCGGTAAAAATGGCATTTAATTGTTGTCATTGTTATAATTGGAATGCATATCGGGAATCTATTCACACATACTTCCCTGTTGTCTGTATTATGTCTTCTCGTAATCATACTTAAAATAAAATAAATGTGTTCACACACACATACAACTACAACTCCGATATTTGCTGTAAGTTTATTTTTTATCCATTTTTTTTTTTTTAATATTTTAGTCATAGTCGATATTCTTATATTATATGGTATATTAACTTTGATCCGAAGTATGTGAGTAGCAAAAGGAGATCGGACGACCCTAATAAAAATTCAAAAGTTATAGCGATATCATAAGAATAAAGAGCTGAATGTTAACTGCTCTTTCGGTAAGAAACTTGGTTACTTGTAAGAACCAGTCAAATTGGTCTGATGCATCATAGAGCTTCCTCTCAGCTGATTATTAGATATTTGTGGTATTCAGATCAGAGAGTACTAAAATACATTGGTAGTTCAATTCAATCAAAAAAAGTTTTGGCAATGACTTTAAATGTTCTGTGCGGCCAATCATAATAAATTCCAGGTGAGCTAATTAAGTCTCAATTTTGGAGAGGTGCTTGCTTTAGCAATTCCTTTCGGGAATATTGATTGTTGTCTTTGTAGACTTCTATAACATAAGTACCGTAGACTTTTGATAAGGAAATGAGAGGAAGCTTATGACGAGGGATTTTCTTGCTTACAAACTAAAGTAAGTTTTTTTTTAGAAATATTGTGTTCAAGTAGGCATAAAAGGCATGTAGTGTCATGTATGGCCAAGAATTTAGCTTTATTAAAACGGCACGTGTTTTCTTTTATGTTTAAAAAGTAATTTCGGACAAGTGACCGCCGTGGCTGGCTCGAATAAATTCCAACCAAGATCCCCCGTTTTCGACCACTTTTTGCAGCAATTGGGGTCGCTTGTCGGCAATAACACACCGGATATTCTCTTCCAAACTGACAATCGTCTC